TCACTTAAGTGTCATTGGCGATTTGCCTCACCAGAAAATCTGATGTGGACGTCAGTCGTCCTACGTGATACCGCTCACGTTGACGTAGACAGTTTTTGTAAATTTTTTCGCTCATTTAAGTGCCACAAATTTGAAAAATCGATCACTTAAGTACCACAAATTTGAAAAATCAATCGCTTAAGTGTCATCGACAATTTGCCTCATCAAAAAATCCGCCATCGACCTCACCCAGATTTGGTAAGGGCCTTTACGCCCTGGCCCACGGCTAGGGAGGCCACAATAGCCGGCAATGGCCTCGCCCATAGCCGGCAATGGCCTCGCCCAAGGCCTTCGCAACCCCGCTAACCGAGGGTGAGAGTTTTTGGCCAACGCACAAAAAAAAGGAAAATTAAAAGAAATCAATTGTTTTGAAAAAAATACAAAAAAATCCAAAAATGACAATTTGCTGGAAGTGGCACTCAAATAATCGATTTTACTCCGATAATGACTTACCACCTGGCAGCAACGATCATTTAGATCTAGAAATTAAGGAGTTCACAATTATGTTTCCTTTTGCTTCTTGGTTAAGAATTGAAGCAGAAGAAAACTTCAGTTTCATAGTTTGCTCTTTAGAGCGTCGGTATGCCTATTTTATGAGCACGAGAAGATCACGAGTAGGACACCGATCAACAAAGTATTAAGAGAAAGCTAAGTTGATGTTACTACCACCAATAATTGATATCATTTGTCAAACCAAAATAGTAAATAATTGTTTGCTGACTTTGTTGAAGCACTGCACAGGGAAACAGTACCCAAGTAAGTAAAGTTACGAGCGATCATAGGTATCGTAACTCAAGGCCATTGCTTTGTCACTGAATTTGGATGAGACTTCTTCCTAGACCAGGTTGGAGAGCGGGGCAAGATTTACGCGAGATTCAATTATTATCCTAGATGTCCAAGACCTGATCTGGGCTGTGGTCTCAAACCGCATGCTGATGGATCACTGTCACACCCCAAAAACAACTAGAAAAGGGGGATGACACGACCGTCCTTCCACGCGAAGGACGCAGCCTCAACAATAACCAACAACCTGTTATCAACATACATATATATATATATATATCAAACCACATATATATCAGATAAACCAACGGGTTGGTTACAACATCAGAGTTTCTATAATCCACCAAAAAAACATGTACATCAAGAACTCAGCCAACCCGACGAACTATCAATAACCTTACAAATAACTCCAAAAATCATACCCAAAAATCTTACTACCAAACGTCCCCGCGATAGCGCTCTCGTACTAACGGCCGCTAGCCGAGGAACCTGAAAAGATTAGGAAAGAGAGGGATGAGCAACCGCAACTCAGTGAATAGTACATCTCTTCTAAGTAGATCGAGCAATCACTATGCATGTGTACAAAGCAATACCAGAACTTCAGAAGCCAAACCCAAGGTTTAAAATACATATAGAATCACATAAGAGTTATTTCATTTCATCAAAACTTTGTACAAGTCACAAATACACATTTAAATCCACCATCACAATTCAAACTATCAATGGTCAAGTCCATTGATCAATCTCTATAAAAACCACGTCAATGGTCCATTCCATTGACTAATATCAAATCACACATCACCGGTCTATTCCATTGATGAATCTCATATTACATCAAACGTCGATGGTCCATTCTATCGACCAATCTATTGCTTAATATCTAATTATGGTCATGACATAAAGCCTTGTGACAAGGCTACCAAGATTCCCCCCTGGCAAGGTCTCCACCTACAAAGCCAGTGGCTCGGCCCAGAAGGATATCCTAATCCGGTATGCATACCCCAAAGCCCCTCAATGGGCTCATAGCGATATTGAGCATCAAACAATCGTCATCCAATATCAGAAATCCAATCCAGAATATATTTCACAAACCAAACAAATAACTTTCTCGCAATATGGCTCATCTGCCAGAAATATATTTCATAAAGCATTTCTTAAATCATTTCCGAACTCATTTCATAAACTAGTTCGTAATTGAATACACATATGTATCCTTTCACAAAACATTTCCAAAACGATTCCCAAATCATTCTCAAATACCAAAAGTAGTAAATGCTCGATCCCGATTTATGCAACAGAATGTTCTTTTAAGTTCAATATATATATCGAATCATAATTTCTCAGAAATATGGGCTTTACAAAACCAAAGAAAAGATAGTACCACTCACTTGGAATCCCCAAAAATCAAACAACCACGCTCACTCGAACCAACGATCTCGTAATCCTAACAATTAAACGAGAATCGACATCAAAACCAAGTAAAAAAAAACTACGAAACGGCTAAACGACGCTTAAACGCTAACAAGACAACTCAAAGGCGCACACAAATCGCTTCTCCAAAGCGATTATCCAAACCGTTCGCAACGTAGAATTTGAACGCGAAACTTGATCGCACCATAAATTCCTCCACTGAACCCGTTTCAAGCGAGCTTATAGTCAATAGAAAGCCCACTCAGAGCACTACAAGAACCCCAACTTGACCGTCCCAAAATCGAGCCGAAAACCGACGAAAATCAGCCTAAAAGCCGCTGGTCACGCACTGTTCACCTTGCGCGGCCAACTTCAAAAATTCATATTAGGCAAACCGTAAGTCCAAATCAAGATCTGTAAAATCCCACGGCTCCACGACACCCTAAACTACCAATTCTATAAATATTTGTAGCTTAACGACTCAAAAATCGGACTTCGCAGCTTGAATTTCTCAAAATTCCTAATTTAAACCCTAACTTTGAAAACTTCTCCGATCGGATGAACGAGGGACGCGAATACTTACCGGGCATTGCAATACAAAATTGATCCGAGCTGGTGAGGCTCCGGTGACGTGAGCCTTTCCTCTTTCTTCTTCTTCCTTTTCTTTCCCTTTCTCTCTTTTTCTTTCTTCTCTTCTCTTCTCTTCCCTGCTATGCGCAAGCTCTCGGTTAAAAAGAAGAGCCGAGCGTCCAATGTAGATACTTTTTGACTTTTTGACTTTTTTTTTTTTTTGTAAATACCCGAATATTACAATCACAATCGCCATTGTCCTGCCTGATGAAGAAGTGGAAGGCCTGCAGTTCCTCTAAGCGATCAGTGGATCACAGTCTCCACCATTCCTGAGGCTCCTCTCATTAACAGAGGAGATATAGTGGAGGTCAGTCTTTAAGTAGTACATTTCCCGAACTTGCAAAGTGATGTGTAGAAGTATATTTAATTTACGTAATAGTTATGAGTTTAAATTGTTGAAGTTGGCCTAAAGGAAGATCGAAATTGTGAGATAAATGGGGTATGTGTGATGCAGATAATGAGCAATGGGATTCTCGAGAGGCCTATGAACAGGGTGGTGACATTTGACAAACACCGCGAGCGATAGAATCTCGGTTGCAGTATTTTGCTGTCTAGAGGAAGAGAAGGAAATCGGATATGCTGCAGGGCTGATCAACGAGGAAACCCCGAGATTGTACTAGAAAATCTTTTGCTTTGAGCATTACCAGTTAGGGAAGAGACCTATCGAGGCTTTGAAAATCTAGCTTCAGCTTGTTTTACCACTCCCTCCTTTATAACCATTTTTCCCCCTGTCGAGAGGGAATGATTTTGGTTCCTCGGTTTGCGTTTGGCCATGCACTGAAAGTAAGAATTAAGAACATCCATAACAGGTAAAGCCCCATAAAAGCGGTCAAAATTTAACCAGCACAGATACACGTAGTCATGGCCACGGGCCGGTTTTGGCTCGGAACCGGCCCGGTCAAACCCGGGCCCGGCCCGTTGACCGGGCCCGCGGTTCGGAACCGGAACCGGCCCGTGGCCTACGGGCCCGGTTCCAAAATTTTTGAACCGGAACCGGCGGTTCCGGTTCCGGTTCCGGTTCCAAATTATTTTAAAAAAAAATAATGAATATTTTTTTTTTAAATTCATTATTTAATTTTTTTTAATAAAAAAAATTGAACTCTAATTGCCATGCATTGTAAGTGCATTGATCTCCAATTACAATGCTTGGCTTGTGTGTATTGAACTCTAATTACAAAGCTTAGCTTGGATTTTATAATAACAGCCTTTGATGGTCTCTTCATTCCCATTCGATGTGGGACTCGCTTGCCTTGAACACCCTCAATGTGAGACTCTTGGCTTGTCTTCATGCAAATGCCAAGAGTCTCACATCGAGTGGGAATGAAGAGAGCATCGAAAGTGAGTTGTTTAAACCCATGCCAGCCCACAAATGTGAAGTTGTATGCGCTTTTGTGGCTACGATCCTTTACTAGTTAAGACAAAGAGTTCCATCGGACCGCCCTAAAATCGGACGGACCAATGGTCGCTTCAGTTCTATATGATTTGCTTAGTCCGGTTCCTAGTTCTAAAATTAAAGGACCGGTCTTACTGGTTCGGTTCCCGGTTTTGACCGGGAACCGATCACCCCTATAATTTTCATTTTGATTATAATTTATATTGAATAATTTATTATTTCATATTTATTTTTTATTTTTTAAATTACGAACCGGAACCGCCAATTCCGAATCGGAACCGGTCGATTTCGAACCGTGATCATGACTAGATACACGTAAGCACTGTTAAAGTTTAGGCTAAAGGGCTGGTCTAAGCACAGACCGATGGGCGCTCCAGGTCAATGAGCACAAACACCAATACTAAGTGAGCAGTGGAAATTGGGTTTTCCAAGAAACTGCCCGATCCCATCTTGTAAAGAAAAACAAGAGACGATAGACACGTGCAGCCTTTTGTCTCTATCCACTTTGTTTGGCCAGATTAATTTAACCCATTGCTCTGGCACTCATATCTATGCAAGTTTTCCTCTTTTCTTTGGACCTTTAGCTCCTATTTCAAGATTAGCATCTTTTGGAATGAAGCAATCAAGTTCATAGCAGAGACAAAGAAAGATGAATAGTAACATCAGTTGCTTCTCTGAGTTTATAACAAGATCCTTATTGACAAAAACAATTTCAGAGTCCCACTTTCAACTGTTAGAATATAGCTGGTCTACCTGGACGGGGTCGATGGGCGATCAAGAAGGCCCATGGCCTAGGTTAGCGACCTCCATTGCACTTTGGAGGGGAGCTCACCTAAGGTCAACCCGTAGTGGTTGTGCCTACATCATAATTGATCCTTGTCAAGAAAAAATTTCATCAATTTGACACGTGACACTAAGATTTAGGCTATTGGTCCAATTAAAAATAAGTGACTCCATGATCACTCTACGAGAAAGAGAACTTGGACTCTTCTTATTTTTTTGATAACTAAGGGAAGTTGACGTGGATATGCACAAAGAAAGAAAACAAAGCTTATCTGCTTTCTTCTTCTGCCCTAGAATCCAATCCACACTGTATCTGAATCCTAACAAAGCTAACACAAGCAAATCTTTAGTTTTGCTTCCTCTGTCATTGACATGGCGCAGCCTCCTCTTCCTCCTGCACAATCTGTTCAGGAACTGATCTTGGATGGCGGAACAGTACCAGAGAGATATGCTTATAAAGATGACAAAAGTGCAAGCTTTGATGAATCTCTTCCTCTGATGGATGTTCCAGTCATCGATCTTGGCCTTCTCACACCTTCATCATCATCACCAGCTGGAGAGGAATTAATTAAACTCCGCTCAGCTCTCGCTTGTTGGGGATGCTTTCAGGTCAGATCTTTGCGTCAAACAACAGTTTCTTTCATTTCCCAGCATACAAAATTGCCACTTTAGGCCCACTTAATTCCAGTTTAGTCGATTTTATTCCGTAGATCTGAATAAGAAAAAACAAAAGGCTAGAAGCAAAGGCATATAGGATAGGAAGACGCTTACTTTAAGTAGAGATTCTTTGATTTGCTTAAGATCACATCTATGGCGTAAAAGCGGCTAAAATTTGCATTTCATTTGCAAATTCATTAGTTCTTTACAGCAGAATCTGGAGTTACCAAACTCTGTTGATATTACTGTTCTTAATAATGCAATCCATATTTTGACTTCCTTCGTCTTTTCTGTCTCAGGCGATAAATCATGGGATCAGCAGCTCATTTCTAGATCAACTGCACGAACTAACTCAACAATTATTTGCGCTTCCAAAAGAGGAGAAGGAGAAATGCGCTAGAGCGCCTGATGGTATTGAAGGCTATGGAAATGACATGGTTTTGTCAGAGCAACAAGTAATCGACTGGAATGACCGCTTGTACATCATCATATCCCCCGAAGAAAAGCGAAAGCTTGAAGTTTGGCCTGAAAAACCCGAAACTTTCAGGTAATTAGACAAGATAGCTGCTTCAAATTCAATTATGTAGGTCATATGGTACAGTTGGGAGAGTTAGTTCTGCTTGGTAAGAGGGGTTCTAATGTGTATCATGATGTAGCTAGCAAGGATCATCTAGAGGGGGGTGAATAGGTGATCTAAAAATTTTGATCAATTTTTAAAGTGGAAACAAATGATCAAGATTAAAGTCTTAAAAATATTCAGATTCTGAGTAGACTTTATAGACAATGTGCTAATGTGCAGTATAAAAGATAGAATAAGAGTTTAGAGATAGAGAGATTGCACACAAGAAATTATAGTGAGTCGGCTTAGATCAAGCCTACGTCCACTATCCCAGGCTGACAGCCTACTGGCTGGATTCCACTATGTGATCAAAAAAGGATTACAAGTTCTGAGTGATATCACTCTGTGAATGATAGAACGATCTATCTTATTCAATCACTCTTACAAAATGTCCATCAAGATCTCAGTGTTAGGCTCAGGAAAGACAAGTAGTAGAATTGGAGTATGCTCAGACTTTGGATTTGTTGATTCTTGACTTTTGTTCTCTACCTTCTGTTTCTCGTTAATCTTCTTTTAAACTCCTCCACTTTCAAACTAGCCGTTGGACAGTCTTCAGATGATCATTTTCCAATCTTCAACTTGGAAAGATTTGTATAAAATCGATTGAATAGCCGTTGGTTGACAAAATCTTAATCCCGCTAAATCTGGTCGCTCATACAATAAGAATCTTGGTTTTCGTAAGTAGAGCTTTATCCGTTGTGATATATACTTGCCTTAATATTTGATTTTCAATCAATTTTGCATTATAGTATTTTAAGATTGAGTCAATCAAAACTTTCCTTCTGTGAAATCTATACCAGATCACTAGCCGTTATGTTCGTTCTAAATAGTTTCAGAGTCTGGATAATTTCTAGTTCTTACTTCACATCCAGAACTTAAGTTAGTGTGGGTCTTCAGTAGGGTATGAACCTTTTAGAAATAAAGTCTGAAGTTCTTCATCTGCTTAATATAAAGTCTGAGTGACTTTTACAGTAAAGTGTGAACTTCTCGATCAGGTTCCTGTAAAGTCTGAGATCTTCCTTCTGGTCCTCGTAAAGTCTGAGTGTCTAGAATCTGAACTTCTTGATCTAGTTCCCATAAAGTCCAAGATCTTCCTTCTAGTCCTCATAAAGTTTGAGTGTCTAGAAAGTTTAATTCTCTTGAAGAATTGGAATTGCCATTTCCAAAATATATCTACTTGGATCAAAATACTTCAGAGTATTTATCAGACTTACAAAATTCACATGGACAGTTTTGTCAACTTCAAAATCTATTAGGAGGTTTTCTTAACATGCCAGAAGAGAGTTCTCATATGATATGCCGAGAATGGACTAGTTTGAGCAATGGTAAGTAGGAACAAAACAAGATAGACACAGGAAGACAAATTAGCTCTGTTTATGTTGTTATCTGTTGTAGATCTGCAACAATACATACTATATTGACCTTCTTAAAGCATTGTAGGGAAGTAATACACGAGTACACAGTAAAGTTACGGCCAATCATAAACAATGTATTCAAGGCCATGGCATTATCGCTGAATCTGGAGGAGAATTGCTTCCTGAACCAGTTTGGAGAACGAGGGGTGATGTTTGCAAGGTTCAATTATTATCCTCGATGTCCGAGGCCTGATCTTGTCCTTGGCCTCAAGCCACATGCCGATGGATCAGCAATCACTGTGGTTTTGCCGGACAGAGAAGTGGAAGGCCTCCAGTTCATGCACGATGGCCAGTGGTTCAGAGTCCCCACCATTCCAGGGGCACTTCTTATTAACGTGGGAGATCAAGTCGAGGTCAGTCCAGTACTCGCGTATTTTGAAATTCAAAAGAATGCTTCTCAGGGATATCTATCTATTCATTTTATACAAGTTTAAGGTCTTGTAAAGAATGGCCCTGACAGTTCGGCATTGCGGGGGTGAATTTGGTATGCGTTGTAATGCAGATAATGAGCAACGGCATTTTCAAGAGCCCGATGCACAGAGCAGTGACAAACGCAGAGAGAGACAGGATCTCTCTCGTGGTGTTTTGCACTCCGGAGGAAGAGAACGAGATTGGACCTGCTGATGGGCTGATCAATGAGGAAACGCCAAGATGGTACAAGAAAATCAGGAATTATGCCGAGACTTACTTTGAGTATTACCAGTTAGGAAAGAGACCTATTGATGCTGTCAAAATGTAGCTTCAGGTGGTTATTATTCCACCCTTTGTAAGCACAAATCAGAGTTTTTCACTCCTGATCTATTTGTCTATTTGTCTTATTTCGTTTACCTCATCCAAAGGTAATGACTTTTAGTTGTGTTTTCCTCCTCATCTATTTGTTTGTCTTTTTCTGTTTACCTCATCCTAAGGTAACGGGGATAAAGACACTAGGAGTGCCATAACTTTCGTACGGCGCTTAATTGAGTGTCATAACTTTTTTTTCATTTAAGTGCCACAAATTTGAAAAATTGATCATTTGAGTGCCATCGACAATTTGCCTCGCCGGAAAATCCGACGTGGACGACCTACGTGGCTTCGCTGAAACTGACGTGGACAATTTTTTAATTTTTTTTAAAATTTTTGAATTTTTTTGTTTTTCTTTTTATTTTTCTTTGTTTTTTGCAAAAAAAAATTTGCCGGCGAGGGTCAAGGCCTCGCCCAGATTGGGGGAGGGCCGCCTTGCCCTTGGCTACGAAGGCCCTGGACGAGGCCGTCGCGACCTCACCGGCGGCAGGCGAGGCCGCGAAGGCCATTGCCAGATCTGGGCGACCTCGCCAGATCTGGCGAGAGCCTTCGCTGCCTCACCCGCAACCGGCGAGGCCGCAAGCAAGGCCGTAAAGGCTCTCGCCGACCGTGACCGAGGAGGTGAAGGCTCTCGCCAGATCTGGCGAGGCCACAATGACCTCGCTTAGGAATTTCGCGACCTTGGGCGAGGCAGCCTCGCCAGATCTAACGAGAGCCTTCGCCGCCTCACTTGTGACCGACGAGGCAGCGATGGCCTCGCCAAGGGCCTTCGGGCCATATTGGCCGATGGCGAGGCGACCCTCGCCCAGTTTGGCCGAGGGCAAGGCCTCCGGCAACCCTCGCTAACCTTGAAAAAAAAAGGAAATATAAAAAAGATAAAGAAAAAAATTCAAAAAAATCAATAAAATAACATTTAAAAAATCCACGTCGGATGGAAAATTAATTAAAAAATTCACATAGGATGATTTGCCAGAAATGGCACTCAAATGATCTATTTTACTCCGATGTGGCATTTGAGTGAGCGAAAAAAAAAAGTTATGGCACTCAAGTGAACGCCGTACAAAAGTTATGGCACTTCTAGTATCCTTATCTCTAAGGTAATGACTTCTAGTTGTGTTGGTCATGCACCGAAACTAAAGCATAAGAAAACATAGTTCTTGTTTCTTCTTTCTTTTCTTTATTTTTACAAGCAGTTTAATTTTTCAACCACGGATTGAAGTTGAATTCAGAAGAGCCGTCTGGATAGGAATTGAACTTAAATCAGTAAACCAAACTGATTTTTTTTTCCCAAATGAAATAACGGGGAAAATTTCAAATAAAGATCTAAAGTGCCATCCTTTTTTCTCAAATTGGGACATGAAGTGGACCTTATTTCAAATAAAGATCTAAAGTGGCCAAATCATCTCAAATAAGAGCCTAAAGTTGCCAAATCATCTCAAATAATGGCGTGCAACCGAACCGGGTTTACCTGAGAACCGAACCGGACCACCCGAAAAACAGGTCTGGGAACCGGTTCCTATTTGAAACGGTCGAGGAATCGGTTCCATTTTTTGGGAACCGGTTGGAACCGGTCCGGTTTCCAGTTTCAAGTGAAAATCCACCCGGGAGCCAGACTGACTGAACTGGTTTTGGAATCGATTTTTAGCTAGTGTTAAAAAAAACCCTCGATCATACTATTACTATATTTTGGTTATTGATTTTGGTGGATAGTAATTTATATTCCTCATCTTAAGGATTGTTGCTTTTGGCGGATAGTGATTTTTATTATTCATTGTTTACTTTGAATCGTTTCATTGCTACTCATATTATTTTGCTAAACAAAATAAAACCAGAAAAAAGAACAAAAGAAAAATAGGTTCTCCCGTAGACCCTGAAACCAGATCAAAAAAACATAGTAGGTTCCAAAACAGGTTTCAGGCAAACAGAGTAGATTCCAGATTTCAAAAATTGGAAACTAGTTATAACACGATAGGTTTCAGGTTCCAGGTCTGGAACCTACCCACCCTGGAACCGATCACCCTTAGTCTCATATAAAGACTTTTGGCCGGCTGGCCTAGATGTGACTATTCTGGCAGGGGTATTTTAGTAAAAAAATTCTAAATATATTTTTTGATTCTTTTTACTTTCCTTTTCTTTTTCTTTTCTTTTTTCTTTTTTTCTTTTTCCCTCCTCCGGTCAGTAATGGTGGGCAGAGGTCGCTAGCCTCAGGCGAGGGCTGCCCTAGCGAGGGCAACCCTTGCCCGGCCTCACCAGCCCAGGCGAGGGCGTTCCTCATCAACGTCAGGTGAGGACAACCCTCCCTCGACGCTACCCTCTCTTGCGCCAAATCCAGCGAGCCAGATCCCTCGCTGGATCTGGCCTCGCTTGTGGCCGACGGAGGCAATAGGGAAAAAAGAAAAAAGAAAAGAGAAAAGAGAAAACAAAAGAAAGGAAAAAAATTCAAAAAAGTAAAGGACGAAAATGCCTTTCGGCTAGTTAGGTTAGGCTCTTCTTTAAGATTGATATGGTCACTTCACATCCTTATTTGAAAAAATAATGGCACTTCGAGCCTTTATTTGAAAAAAGGTCCACTTCAAGCCCTATTTAAGAAAATCATGCACTTCATGCCCTTTTTTAAAATTTTCCCTAAATAAAATTAGAAGCCGATACATTGCGAATCCTAGTGTAATTTGATTAGATTCAATCTGACCATCGGATGGGAGGGTCATATCGGTTCTTTCACCCGACACGAGTGAGTTGCAATGAGTTCGATGCCCGTACACATGGGTTATCTCCCCTTGTTACAATATGTACATAATCTCTTTCCTTGTTGGGCTGTGGCACGATCGGTTTGTAATTTGGTGATAGAAAGGTTAAGTGATCAAACAATTTGGATGAACTTATTCAATAAGCAATATGATGGTCAGAGAAATATTCTTGCAGTACAGAAGCATCGTGTATGAAGGTTAACCACAAATGATCTACTGGGGCATGTAACTCCAAGATAGGTTGGACCACTTTGAATTTTCTAAAGATGTGAACTTGATCGTAACCTTTTTTTACAAAGATCAGTGACTTAAATGAAACTTTTAAGAACTTTGGGGGGGCCCAACTCCCAAGGCCCCAGCTCTCATTTCAGTCCACTATGGTTAGCTTGACCATGAAGTCTATAATCATGGACAATCAACAAAAGATTAAACAAAACCAAAGGTGCAATCTTTTCATTAATCAGGTCAGGTCATGCTACCATACACATACTAAGTTGGAGTCATCACACACACCTTCTGCAATTTTCACGTTTTCAATATTATGGCATGATTAATGCATTGGCCTACTTTTGCCTTCACACTGACGAATTGATAATGCAAAAACAAAAATATATTCATGTGGTAGGAAGGCAACTTTTATTGCTAAACATGAATCATGAATTTCTTCTTTCTAACGGGTCACGTTGACCTCCAGGTTTAGGATGTAATTGGTCTTAAAACTACCATTCCCATGGCAGACTCAGGACAACTAACTGTCAACTGACTCCACAGATGTTCCCTCGTTAATTTCCATTCTGGAAAAAAAGACTACATCACAGGACGGCGGAATGGACTCCTGCTGGTGTTCTTCTCCATGTTGGCTTAGATTTGAACAAGCAAATAAACCTTTCCTACATCTAGCATGCTAAATTAAGAGAAGTGCAGGTTTCTAACATACTAAACACAAAAACAGCAGCGAGAATAGAGTCTAGAATGGCAACTTCAAAACACCGGTTCAAGTTACATATCTCTTAACATAATTCTTTGAAGCAATGTGCGTGAAAACAGATGAATTGTTACCTTAGAAGCCAATAAAAATCCCATTTATCTTCAAAGGTACCTCATAACAGACTTTCATTACAGGAAGAAACTTTAAGCCAAGTTCACTCTGCGAAAGTGTAATATTTACATTGTAGCACAAAGGTGAATGGAACTTTGGCAATCCAGATAGTGGAAAGATTTCATTATAAGCAAAGCAAAAAGAATCACAACAGGAGTTTCGACATCATCTTTTCACGATCCTATCCCAATCAATGATTCTTTCTGAAAAACCTCAGTAAACCACCAATAACATGCAAGCTGATCTAGAGCTTTTAGAGCAGTTACTCTGTTCTACTCACTTTATGTCATGAATGGCCTCCCAGGCAAAAAGAATGGAAACTACACATCTATTACATCTGTACACGGGGGATTATAGGTGCGTAAACTTGAATCGCATCGAAAAACGTGGATGCCGTACTTATATTAGGCTGGAAAATGACGACGTTAGCTCGTAAGGAATGCTGGCTAGCGGCCCACGTTGGCTTGCAAGCTCGTGTATGTCCTTTACAATGTCGAAGACGGCCTCAGGCTGTGCCAGCTTCAGCGCATTTTCCGACATTTTCTTGCGTTCTTCCGTTTTGGTGGTGAACCATTCAGCCACGATTCTGGCCGTTTCTTTGGGACTCCGGGTGAAGACACCGGCTCCATTGTCCACTACATAGGGAACATTGCCCTTTTCCTGCGGTTGCAAATGACAAATGAGCATCCATATTTGCAATTCCGATCTACCAAAGTGAATACACATGATCAGTCACAAACCTGTCCGGGAATGTAGTCATTGAGGATAATTGGAAGGCCTCTGATCAATGCTTCTGAGATCGTGCCAGGTCCGGCCTGAAAAAGGTATTATAGTTATAGATGTAGCAATTTACGTAGAAAGTTCATGTTATAAATTGAACACATACGGAGGAGGAGGAAGACACATAGACCCACTTTTGTTATTATGCAGTCGCAAGCTCCCATCCATTTCTCCATCTGGGTCTCAAATCCTCTTACCTAAATAGTAACGTCAGATCAGTTTTTTCGCTCCACAACGTTTGTACAACAGCAATTTCTCTTATTAACTCAGAAGCATTGGATCAAGAAGCAAAAGCGATTACCTTAACAGGGATCTTCCACTCTTCAGATTCTAATGTCGATGCGAGTGCTTTGTTACGGCCACATACTATGATCAATTGCCCTATTGGATTCCCAAGTTCTTGATCAAACAATGACTCTCCTAATGCCTTTGCAGTTTTCTTAACTGGGCCCATCCCTTCACCCCCTCCCATTAATAGAACTGCAGGCAAATTTGGATCCATTCCAAATTCCTTTCTAAGCTCATCCTACAGGTGAATAAAAAGAATTGAGAGTGAAATAAAATTCCGATTGTGTAAGAGAGGAAAGCATGTGCTTCCTTAATCAATAGCAGTCAACCTTTGAAAGAACTGCACGTGCAAAGGATGGCCGAATAGGGAGGCCAAAAACGCGCGTTTGGGACTCCGTAAGGCCATCTAGCAAAGCCCTTTTGGCTACCTCTTGTGAAGGACAGTAGCATCTATTTACTCCAGGATGAAACCTGAAATAAGTTTTTGGAAATAACAAATTACATAACAGACGATTAGTCGGAAGCCATAAATGAGCAATGCATCTTTAAACGCAACAATATGGACAAACCATGTAGGATGACATGTGTTAAGATCCGTGATTACAGTCACGAAAACAACTTTCTTCTGAAGGTTTTGCCACTTGAGAACCCAGAGAGGAACATGCTGCATCAGAGGATGAACACTAATAATGATGTCTGGCTTGTATTCCATCAGACCAGCCTCCACCTCCCTTCAATCGGAAAATTGAATGCATCACAAAACAGGAAAGCAACATTATTAATGCGGTATTGTTCTAGGCCTATTACAAATCTATTACGACCGCGTTTCCAGCATCAAAATCAAGTCATTTCAGGTGACATAAAGAGCCTTCTTTTTTTCATTTTTCCCTGAAAAAGTTAACAAGCATTTAGTGATTGGTTAATATGGAAATAATTGCTCATCCTGAAAGTTGAGAAAGAATCATGACAGCTTAGTGAATGATGATGGACGGTAAAAGCAACTATGCATTGCTGACCTAACTAGAGTATCTCAGCATATAATAACCCACTTGCAGATTTTTATAAACCTCTCTGACACCGGTAGATCTATATACCCTCGGTTTTTGCAACAAAGTAGCAGAACAGAAGGAAAAACAAGGAAGATCCAAAAAAGTCAAAAATTTAACATACTTGGCGTAGTAAGCTGCGACTGCAGCGAGGTATAGGGAGTGAATCCAACGCGGAGATGTGCTGTGAAAAGCAACATTCCACAGCTGTACATGCTTCACCAAGAACTTGTATGATTTCTCCATGTTGTTCAAAGGCCAGCCCGTATATTCTTTCCATACGTCCTTAACAAATATCTGAAATCATAAACAAGAAAGAACCCATCAAGAAAATCAATCTGAGAAAGCTAAAACCTTTTGAAAGACTTCAACAACTTTTGATGAGAACAAAAATATGAAAACGGATCAAATTCACTCAGGCAACAAAACCAAGATGATCAACCGAAAGAGTGAGCGTATTTCAAAATTAATTAACCTAGAAAGACATTAAAATTGGAAGACTGAACAAATTTCAACACTACTGATGCAAATTTCAAGATCCAAAGTCGACAAAACCAAAATGATCAACCCAGGAAGACATAAAAGAAAGAAAAAACAAAGTCAAATCAAACTCATAAAGCTTACCCTGTACTCATCCCCGAACTCCAACCGAAAGGCGTCGCGAATAGCCTCCGCCGACGCGCGGTGGCCGCCACCCGTGTCGCTCATCAGGATCAAGACGTTCTTCGTCCGCTCGGCGCCAATCTGCACGAGCTCCATGCAATCCTCGTCTTCCTCGAAGTCATCGTCCCCGAACTCGGGCGACGACCTCTTGCGGCGGGAGTTGCCGCCGCCGCCCTTGTCGCCGCTCTTGAAGAAATCGCGGGCCTTCCTCTGAAACGCCCTCTCTCTGGCCGCCGTCCCCTTCCTCGGAGACGCCACGGACATCACCATGTCCACCCAAACCCAACCCCAAAAGCGCGAAACTTTAACCGATCCAGGGGCAAATTCGAACAATTTGGGACGTACCCACCAACCAGTATGGCCTGAAAGATGGCCTTCGGGAGAATTGAGGTTGAGACTTTCTTGGGGGCGTGGCGTTTACTTGGGCGAAACGGGGTTGAATGTAATAAAGGTTCGATCTTGGGGTCGCCCAACAGTTTTTTATGCGTGTAATTTTCACGGCGAGGTGGGAGTCTTTGGGCGTCAGATCAGATGGGCATTGGTTTGGGAATGTCCAGGAGGGAAGATTCGGATCTTTTCTGATTGATGAATAGCGTGTGATTTCGAGGGTAGTTTTTCAGTGCAACTGGGGACGAAGAAGAAGAAGTTTTGGTGGGGTGGCTTGAGTAGTTGAGTGGGTTACTGTTTTTTTTTTTGCTGTCGAGTCCTCCTACTCTTGGGTATTTGCTGTCGTGGTGTCGAACTGTTAATTGCGGTTGGTAGTTGAAGAGTGGCCAGTTTGTTTCGGCCGCCGACCCTTTTGTCCTGCCTCGTGTTGGGGTTTCGGCGTGCCTTGTGTTGTGACTTGCGAGCGTGACATCCTCTTTCTCTTCTTCTCCCTATTTGGTTTGTCTTTTTTCGGGGTCCGTTTCGATTGGCTGAGAGCGATTGGGACGTGGTAAAGCCGACTCGATGATTCGAATCACAACATGTTTAGTTTGAAATGACTTCGCAAAATCCATCGACATGGCATTATTCGATGTACATAAATTGAGGCGATTTACTTGTATAAGTAGAGTTTAATCGAATAGAAAATTCGATTTATTCATATCATCAAAAAGTTTCGTCTTATTGTATTTCATTATATTTAGCAAGTCCATTTTGTTCTGTCTTTTCAAGCAGAATCGGCGATCAGTCCAACCGGAGATCTAATCGGAAGATGACGCTCGTGTTTTATTTGCCCAAACATCTTTACATGATGCCTTATCGAACTCCCTTGGACCCGATCAAGTCCTTAAACTATTTCGTCTACACTCTTGGACGTTAAAATAAGGAACGTAATCCTGTCAGCCTGCCAGATATATACAGCTGGATAGATAGGCAAGGCGACCCCGATCGGAAGCTTAGACTTTCCCTACTTTGATGAGGTACCCTCGACTCCCGTATAATTAATTTCCGATAAAAAGGAAAATTTATTTTACCCGTGATTCTTGGCAACCCTTTTTATTTTGTTCTTCTATTCTCTCACGTAACATTATTTCTAGCATACCTGTTGTTCTTATTACTTTTGTTCTCCTTGTCCACATGAATTTAATGAAATTTTATATAAAGTCTACATCAATTGGCAACAAGCGAACAATACTCAATTCCCCTAATTGTTCAATTGGCTAGGTGTCTCGTCCAACTTTTTTGACCCCTTTTGATTGCAATGTACTGTGGCATAATCAACAACTCCATCTATCCAACAGAATTTTGTTTAGGCATCGTCCCAAGAAAAACTCTAAAATGATATATTTATGATAAATTTACTCATAATTTAATTTTTTGATCATAAAAAATCAAAATTGATACACTTATTATAGATTTACCCTAAATTAATTTTTTGACCGTCAAAAACCTCAAACTGATTTATTTGTGGCAAATTTACCATCCGCTAAATTGGATTAATATCACGAAAAACCAAAGAATGGTACACTTGTGACAGACGGAGGGTAAAACCCCAAACTGATACACCCGTCAACTGCCGCGTGTCATTCAACTCAAAAATTTGACCGTAAAATTTAACGGAAACTAATAAATAGTAAAATTATTACAAGTATACGCGTTTGGGGCTTTTCGTGATCAAAAAATTAAGTTTGGATAAATTTATCACAAATGTATCAATTTGAGGTTTTTTAGTGTTATTAATCCTTTTTTTTTAATAGCTATCACATTAATTTGATGGTACCCCCATCTTGCACAATAACCGTGCAAAAAAGGGAGAACCAAAAACACAAAAAGATTTGGAATTGTGTGTGGGACTAGTATGAAACGTTGCGTGACAGCATGAACCTCAAACAGGGACTGATTCCTTAACGATGCTCTGTACATCTTTTGCTTATTTAGCACGCAGTAAAAAAAAAAAAAAAAAAAAGAGATTATCCATTTCGGATTTCCAACTGTCGAAGCAGCAGATCGATAGCTGTTGACCGAAAGCCTTTCTTGATCTTTTATTGGTTTCCAAGACGGTATATGCTCCGTGGAGTGCCCGCATCACATTGATAAATGGATTTAAGCAAAAGCCAATAGAAAAAAAAATTAGTTTCTATTAATTTCTGTTAAATTGAATTAATATCACAAAAAAATATAAACCGGTACATCTGTGACAAATAGAGGTTAAAACTCCGAACTTGTACACCCGTCAACTGCCATGTGTCATCCAACTCAATAATTTGACAGTAAAATTTAACTAAAATTAATTAAAGGTGAATTTTTCACAGGTGTACTAGTTTGAGGTTTTTGATAGTTAAAAAATTGGTTTTGGTGTAAATTTGTCACGAGTGTACTAATTTAGGATTTTTCTTGATATTAACAAAAAAAAACACACACACACACAGAGAAAACGTACGACCATTTTTTCAATCTGGCCATAGCAATTTCGAATTCATCTAACCGTGAAAGCACATACAAGTTTTTATATTTGTGGATTAGTGTTAGGACAAGCTTTTTATCTAAATCAAATCGTGCTTATTGAGTTGTGATTCGGTTTTGATCGAGTAGAAATAATAAAACCAACGGATATATAGAGAAAGACGCTCGTGAAATACTCCGCCTTTGGGTCGAGAACTTTCGCGAGTTATTTTGCGCGAAAGAAAAAAATTGACTGTAAAATGGACGGAAATATCAATTTTGCAGGCAAAGAGAGAGAGAGAGAGTAGATTGGCAGGGGGGGCCTGGGCACGAGACCAAAATTATTTCGTGGGTCATGAATGTAAATACTAGGAAAATCAGGGCGCTAGAGGAAATTGCTCTTTGGCCCCCTAATTTTGCTTTCATGTTCAAATGGGGGGACCCGATTCTTAACTCTTTTTATGAGGGGCCCTGTTGAGACCTATAGCTTTAATTGAGTAAGAGGGGCCAATTGGGGCAAGTTGAGCTGGACAACAGCGCAAAGTCAGCCGGTCTCTGTGAGGAATCCACATAATTGCATGATCTCGCATTATAGTTTTGTAGGTAGAGGCAGTACCATTGAACTTTTATTACCAAACATTATAATAACGGAATTATTGCATTGAAAATCCTTAAACGTATCACGAAAGTGTAATTAAGTCCTAAAACTTTCAAAAGGTGCAGTGAAGTCCTAAATCTTATCAAGAAAATGTAATTGAGTCCTAAAACTTTCAAAAAATGTATAATCAAATCCTAAAACTTGTTAAATTGGTTTAGTTAAGTCATTCTGTTAACACTTTTTGAAAGTTTTAGAATTCGATTGCATTTTCGTGACAAGTTTAGGACTGGATTGCACTTTTTGAAAGTTTTATAACTCGATTACACTTTCGCGACAATTTTTAAGACTGAATTGTACTTTTTGAAATTTTTAGGACTCAATTACACTTTCGTGATAAATTTTAGGACTTAACTGCACTTTTTAAAAATTTTAGGACTCAATCGTACTTTCTTGACAAGTTTTAAAACTTCCGGTGCACTTCTCCGTATAGTAAATCGAAAGTACCAAAAACATACATGAATTTTCACCTCATATACCGTTTGCATATCGCTATTTTTGAAAAGATCACTTCACACTCGAACAAAATCCCACATTAAAAAGACTAAATTGCTCTCTCTTTACAAATATTCAAACTTCCAAATGCTCACAAGCCCTAACCTCAATTGCCTCACACCTTCAACACCGGTCCCCACCTACCACCACCCCCCATTGCCAACCGTCGACCTGCCACCCCCGACCACCGTTTGTCACCGAAGCAATCTCCACCTCCGACACCATCGACCACCTCTCTTTGCCTTTTTCATGCTCCCCTCTCTTTGAACTCTCTTCTTCTTCATCGATTCTCTCAAGAGGCCGTGGAAGACCTCTCAAAGTCGTCCACGGTCTCAGCTGCGGCTCACGACCTCAACCGTTGCCATCCATGACCTAGGCGCAGGATTTCCTAGGATAAATCTTAAACAAAATAGACTTCATGACAATATCAATTGTCAAACACCACCTTTTGTTCACATTAGGTTTCAATTGAAAAAAAATATCATTTTAGGAGTCTAATTTGAATAAAAGTGGCGCATATACAATCTAGGGCAAAAGCCACTACAAATCTTAAATTATACCCATTGTAACACATTTATGATACCCAAAATTCCAAACATATACCTGTGTGACACATTTACTCTCCGTTAAAGTTTTGTCGGTGAAAATTATTCAAAATCGCCAGAAAGCAAACACTATCGATACAACATCCACATGGTTTATGTGAAACAAAAACAACTTATCTAGTGGTACATGGACGAATGCTAAATGTGTCACGTATATACTAGTTTGTAATATTCATGTTACGGGAAAAAAGTTTAGAATGAATGTATCCCAATTGACATAATTTAGAGTTTTCGATGTAACAAAAAAAATTTGAGAAAAATAAGTCGTGACGAACGTAGTTTGGAATTTTCTTTTTTTAGCTTTTTTCCCTAAAATCTATAAAGGGACATGAATTCGTCGTACGTGGGAAATGCAATCTTAGGCAGTACATCTTCTTTTGTTGTTGGGTAGTGGAATGGAATCGCGGTGCGTCATCGGCGAGGCTCACGTGCGTCATCCGCCCCCAACCTTACGTTCCATCCCCATCCCATCTTTGCCGGTCAACGCCACCAGGTCTTCGAGAGAGGACACGCCCAATCACGCGCGTCCAACACCTGGAAAAACTCCGGGTTGGTGGGGGGGCCCACGCCCCTTCGCCACATCGGACGGCCCAAAGGCGACGACTTGACCCCGCGAGATCATTTTTCTCTTTCCACCCTTTTAGCACCCCCCCGTAAGTGCGAGGAAATTACATGTTTTGCTCTTTCTTCAACGTGGTCTTCGAATAAAATCATTGAAATTTGCAGAAATTTTTCTCATCAAGGTCTCGATATTTGGTTCTCGTATTCATCCATCTATAACCAACCAAAAGTACTGGGATATAAGAAAAATCAGAGCCATCTTTGACGTTTAATTTTTTTTATATATGTGGTGTCCGTTTCATAAGAAAATATATTTTCTTTATACAAGTAGGTGCAATAAGTGCATTTCTCATTGCCGTGCTTTCGTATGTAAAAAAAAAATTATCTAATAACTTTTAACTTGTAAAAAACCACTGTTTGGAATGGCTTCTTTAACG